GCAGAATCTGCATCAACAATATCCTAAGAGATGCTAATGCTAGAGACTCACTAGTACAGAACTCAAGGACTCCAATTTCTCAAGTTGACCAAACCCTGGAGAGCGCTTGGGCTTTTCTCCAGAGACAGCACCCCCGAACTGGATGACCTGGGATGATTCCTGTCGGGGTTCACTGGGCTAGCTACAAAAAGGGGTCATGATACCAGCCCTCCTTCCCTTTAAGGAGTACTGTGAGTTTCCAGTGAGATCGTGGGTTCATTCCATTTATTGTGAGAAGGCTGAAAGAGGTTGCAGGGTTGGTGGGGAGCAGAACAGGTGTGGTTTCTGCCCTCAGGGAGCAGGCAAGGTGGTGGGATGGGAAAACAGCGTAGCTGTTGTTTAATTGTCACGGTTACACAGGGCTTTCATTTGCTTATTCTTTTACATATTCATTCATCGGTGACCTGTCATTGATTAAAATGTAAAACATTTGCACTCTGCCCAGGGTTCGACATTGGGGAGGCAGAAATAAATGAGCCATAAACTCTTGCCTTCAAGGACCTATCCATCTGGTCAGAGATAAGGATGAAAGTAGCTGATTACATTTAGAACTCCCCATAGCTGGGGCTGTGGGAGCGCAGGTGAGCAATGAGGAGCTCTGCTCTAACGGAGGATTACAAGTTTGCTGGGAAAGATTGTGGGCAAGAAGAGAAGGGGGCGACAGAGGGAGAGATGGCTGGATGGCATCACCGACTCAATGGACATGAGTTTGAGCAAACTCTGGGAGATGGCGAAGGACAGGGAAACCTGGCATGCTGCAGTTCATGGGATGGCAAATAGTCGGACGTGACTTAGCGAATGAACAGCCCAAGTTCGCCATGCAGATAAGGAAGAGGACAGCATTCCACACAGAAGGAATAGCAGGGGCAAAGGCAGCGAGGCAGCGAGGCGTCAAGTCACATATGTTTGCATCGTGACCAGAAGGTACAGAGAACTGGGAGGAGTGTCAAGGGACAGCTTTGGAGAAGTAGCTTAGGGTCAGACCCTTGATGGTCCCGGGGATCAATACCAAGGAATCCGGTAGGAAGTGGGGAGTCCCTGAATGGAGAGGAATAATGCTGTCTAAGCTATGTTTTATTAATACAAAGATCTTTTCACAACAGCATGAGAAGAAAACACTGGGGCAGAAAGACTTAAGAGGCTCTGATGTTAGCTCCAGGGAGGGATGGCAGAGTGTTCGACTGGTGTAGTGACTACGGGGACAGACGTGAAGAGAAGAGACGCTAAGCAAGGGAGAGTGACAGGACTGCTGACCAAACGAGCGGGATGGTGAAAGGCAGGGGCTTTCTGGCTCAGAGCCTGGGCGAAGGATGTTACTGTTCACCAAGAGGTGGGAACACAGGAAGGAGACCGGGTGCTGAGCCTGAGTCAGGCCTGCTGGGTGTGCGGTGCGCTTGGGACACCCTCTGGCTTTGTCATAGGCTGGAGTCATAGATGCCTAGAGCTGAGAAGAGTGGGCCAGGCCGGGCACATGAGTGTGGGAGTTTGGGTGTCGAGCGGGTGGTAGGAACCCTGGGAGTGAACAGGACAGTGGGAGGGTGTGGGGCGAAAAGGAACAGGGTTGAGAGTGGCACCAAGACTCAAGAGATGGCAGAGGTGAGTCCAGGAAGGAGGCTGAGTGAGGCTCAAGGCCCTTCTGCTCATCACCCACCAGAAGCATCTCCCAGAAACGGACCTCTCTAGAAGCCCCAGAGTGAGTGGGGCCCGGGGCTGGGGCCCTGAGAAGAACCGAGACAGACAGATCTGTGTTTCTCCAAGAGGAAAACAAAAGGATGTAAGAAAAGGAGAAACAAAAGAAATGTTGAGCTTGCTGCGTTTCTCGGATGAGAAATGATCTGGATCCAGCACATCCTAACGCTGCAGAAAAACTCCCGGGCTGTCCTAGGTTGACTTCAATGAGCTCACTCTTTCCTATTGTTAAAAGCAGAAAGTCTGGTCTTATCGCGATTAATCAAAGGAGGATTTTACACAACAAGAAACAGGAACCGGTCCCCCAATCCTGCCATGTGATTCCTGTTTTTCCAGACAGATTCATTTGTGGCTTTAAACTGGTAATAGCTCCTAGTGGCCAAATAATTGATCACTTGGTGTTCTGGCTTTAAGTGAAAAGTGAAATGGCCTCTTTAGAAATGTTGGCAGCCTGGCTGGCCCATTAGTACGACCGAAAAATCAAAACATTGCCTGGAAAAGGCCATTATGACTGGGCTCAGCAGGAGTCATCGATAGATGATGTCATTTCAGAAATAAGCCAGCCAAGGTCACAAGGCCTCTGGCAGCCACAAACGACTCTTCGTGGCCCATCACTACCCCCCGTCACAGACACTGAAGTCTCCCAAGGGGACACCAGTTTCTGAGCCAGCACTGGCTTCATTGTACCCTTTCTTCGCTCAGCCTGAATCTAGAGGAATGCGATGTTTGAGACTAATTCCAGAGCCTGTGACATTCGGCAGGTGAGGAAGGAAGGCCCTCTGCCTCCCAGTCCGTCAGACGCACTCCTCTCCCTCGTCCCCTCTCCGGGGTCCGTGGCCTGGCCAGCCCCTTCTCACACTCCTCAGCCTGGAAACCCCCGCCGCTCCCAGCTCCTACTACCTTCTCTCCCCCTGCCTTCTCCTCCAAGCTTTGAGAAGAGCCGTGGGCTCTGTCTCCACACCCTCAGCTCCCATTAGCTTCTTCCTCCTCTCGCCCGCATTCACAGCATCGCAGGTAACAAGCGCAGGCTTTTCCCGCATCATCCCCCTGACACCAGTCCCCACAGAAACCCTCTTACTGTCCCCATTGTATGGAGGAGGAAATGGGCTCAGACTGGCGAGGCCACTGGCTTCAGAAAAGCAGCGGCAGATCCTGTTTTGAACCCTCGGCAATGCCCTGGCCAAAGCCACCCATGACGCCTGCCAATCATGGTGGCCCTGTCCCAGCCCTCATCCTGTCTCTCTGCGCCCACTGGCACTGCCAGCCTCTCCTCCCATGGCTCCTGGGAGCCAGCTTCCCCTTGCTCCTTCCTTCCTCCTCACAGGGTGGGGTCCCCTGAATTGTATCCCCGGCACTTCACTTCTCTCATGATAGAAAATCTTCCAAGGGAAACGGAATCCAGTGGAGACATCATGCCCACGTGCTCAAGGTCACTCTAAGTCAGAGGCAGGCAGGGTGTCCTAACATCCAGGCTGGCCCGTTACTCACAGCGGCCACTACCTACTCCTGGTTGTGCTTTTTGCTGAGCAGCAGGAAGCGGCCCAACCCCAGAAGAAGGAGAAAGTGTGAGACCCTGATAAGGTGGGGCAGAGGCTATTTTTAGACAACACAGGCTTTCCACTTAAACTTAGGAGTCAACATCTTCTGAATCCTGGATCTGCAAGGCTGGTTCATTAAAAAGAACTAACACATCAGAGTGACAGCACTCTGCTCTCACGCTCAGCCTACTTGATTTGTCTGCAATTGAGAAGACCCTTACTATTTGTTTCCATTTCTTCTTAATTCTATCTGTGAGGCTTTAAGATGGTTTTGGGGTGGGCGGGGGGAAGATCCAAAGTAAAGGAGAAACAAAAACGAAACTTCCAGACGAGGGTGCTGTTGTCTGAGTAAGAGAAAGTCCTAGACAACAGCAGACCAAAGAAGGGGGGAGCACTGGTGGGGTGCTCGCGGATCCCCAAGACCTGCCTGAGCAGCAAGTGTCAGAAGAGAAGAGAAAGGCTGGTGGAGGCTGCCTGGCACGCCCAGCGGTGCGTGACCTTGAGCAGGGGGCTCTGCGTCCCTTCCCCGGGAACAAAATGGTTGTCACCACTGGGAGAAAAATGGGAAATTTCCCGGTGCCCCCGCGGAGGGCCTAGAACCTGGGTTAGGGTCTGGTTTTGTGATTCGGACAGGGAAAAGCTTAGGCCAGGTCATCTCCAAGGGCCTGAGAGGGCCAAGGTCAAGGCCAGAAGAGATGGGGAGGGGGAGGAGGTGTGTGTAGGGCTCCGAGGCAGCATCATAAGCATCATACAGATGTGAAAACAGAGGGCAGTGAGCAGCGGCACTGGAGCCTCTAGCCCTGCCGAGTTCAGTAGGGCTAAAGCTGTTTGACTCACAAGCTTCTTTGCGAAGGTGATGGCTGCCACCCAGCAGAGATGCCCATAATTACCGTGGAGCGCCCTTCCTGGGTGTATATGGCCCAGGCTTTCCGAGGGTCCTGCTAGGTCTAGTATAAGATCCGAGTCAGAGGGACCGGCAAAGTCGCCAGTCTCCGCAGCCCCTCTGGATGTGCGCGTCTATGCCCCCCAGGGTCCCAGGCCTGGAGCTGGTGAACAGGTGGGGGGAGCGCCGACGGTCAAGAGCGCGCCCTACTGCTTTCGGCCCAGCCACCAGCTTCTGCGCGGAATCAAAGCCTGCCCCCACAAATGGGGAAATCGAGGCCCAGAGAGGGAGGAGGCTTATCAAGTCCACCCAGTGGGTAGACGATAGCCGGGGCGGGGGTGGGGGGACTTCTGCCTTCAGGCTCTCCCCCTCTTCTTTCCGCCTCCGAGCGAAGGGCGAGTTACCGAGGGGCTTTAAACCCTGTCGCTTCCCGCAGTTTGGGAAACTTTTCCTGCCGCGACCAGGAGTAGCGAGAGCCCAGGCAGCAAGTCCAGCTGAGCGCGGAGGCGCCCCGCTCCCCCCGCACAGCCTGGGCAGCCGGGCCGGGGCTGCGCCCGAGCGCCGGCTCGGCGGCACCTGTGCCGGCTGAGCGCCGGGGCGCCTGGCTTCGCCGCGCTGGAATCAAGCGCGCGGCGGGGACGCTGGCCCCGCCACGACCCCAGCCCTCCCGAGCTCCCAGGTCCGTCTTCCGTTTACAGATGCGGCGCCAGGGTCCAGAGAGAAGGGTGCCCTGGCCGGGGCCACGCGCGCCGAGTGGTGCAGACGCGAGCGCCCAACTCGGGACCCAGACACCCGGCTCTCCAGCCCCGGAGGCAACCCCAGGCAGCGGCTATTTATAGAGGGAGCCACGCTCAGTCCCTCCTGGCGGCTGCGGCGGCGACAGCTGAATATTTTGCCCAGATATGGCTGGGGCCCCGGCGCGGGGGCAGGGAACCCCGCGAGCACGAGGGGGACCCCTGGCCAGTAGGACGCTTACCGAGCCGTGGAGCCGCGGGGGCCGGCGGACGGGCGCGGGCGGCGGTTGGGCGAGCGCAGGCGGCCGGCGGACGGGCGCGGGCGAGCGGAGCGCGGGGCTGGACGAGCTCCCGGGCGGCCGCGAGCGGGCGGGCGCTGTGGGCTCCGCGGGTAGGAGCCAGGGGCGGGCCCGGCTCTGCGTTGTCACCGCGCCCCGCCCCACCCGCCCGGCGCTCCCTGCTTACCTCTCCCTCCACTCGGGGGCGCCGGGGCGCAGCGCAGTCCCCCGCCGGGTAGGGACGTCCGCTGGGGAAGCGCGGGGCAAGGGCTCCAGCCCCCCGGAAGATGGGCTCCTTGGCCAAGTGGGTGCACGTCGCCTCCTGTCTTCGTCTCGGTTTCCCCACTCGTACCAGGTCTAGAAAAAGGTGGGCGTATTTCATTACTGCTGGGTCTAAGACGTAAGAATCGGTAGGTCCTCAGATGGAGCAAAGCCAGCCAAGCGGTTGCTACACCTTTACCTGCTTTAATTGAAGCAACGTCCCATCCCGTCTCATCAGCAACCCAGCTGAGTCTTGTTTGAGCCCAAGCTTTAGTCACGATCAGTTTGTGAACACGTAGTTCCAACAGAGGCACATGGTTAAAATAACCACAACCACCCAAAAAAAGCCCCTGTTCTTTCTTCAGTTTTTCTTTTTGAGATATAATTGACATACAGCACTGCATGTTTAAGGTGTATAGCATAATGGTTTCATTTATAAACATAATAAAGTTATTATCACAAGTTTAGTGAACAACCATCATCTCACATAGATATAAAAGAAAAAAAATTTTCTTGTAATGAGAAATCAGGATTTACTCTTAAAAACTTTCATGTGTTAAGTATATTTATCCTGTACATTTTACCCTTAGTACTTATCTTACAACTGACAGTTTGTACCTTTTGACTGCTCATCCAACCCCTGGTCTCAAAATAAAGTTATCTTTTTTCCTAGAGTTTGTTTTTGATGTAAAATTGACCTACAACATGTTAATTCCTTTTGCACAACATAGTGGTTAGATATTTCTATACATTTAAAACTGATCACAAGTCCAGTGATAATGTCACCATATAAAGACATTACATAGTTACTGACTAAATTCCCCATGTTGTACATTTCATACTTTGCTCATTTATTTTACAGCTGGAAGCTTGTACTTCTTAATCTCCCTCATTTATTTCTCTCCTCCCTCCATCCTGCTCCTCTCTGGCAACCACCTGTTTGTTCTCTGTCTGTAACTCTCTTCCTGTTTTATATTTGTTCATTTGTTTTGCTTTTTTAGATTTCACATATGAGTGAAATCAATAAAGTATTTGTCTCAGTTATCTTGCTTAGCACAATACCCTCTAAATCCATTCATGTTGTTGCAGATGGTAAGATTTCATTCTTTTTAATGGCTGAGTAATGTTCTATTGTGTATATATATATACACACCACAGCTTCTTTATCCATTCATCTATTGACAGGCACTTAGGTTGCTTCTGTATCTTGACTAGGGCTGCATGTATCATTTCAAATTGTATTTTGTTTTCTTTGTATAAATCCCCAGAGGGAATCTGCTGCATTGTATGGTAGTTCTTTTAATTTTTTTGAGGAACGTCTACCATTTTCCATAGTGGTTGCACCAGTTTACATTGTTACTAACACTGTAGCAGGCTTCCCTTTTCTCCACATCCTCACCAACACTTATTTCTTGTCTTTTTGATAATAACCATTCTGACATGTGTGAGGTAAGAGCTCATTGACGTTTTGATTTGTATTTTGCTGATTAGTAATGTTGAACATCTTTTCATATGCTTATTGGTCATCTATATGCCTTCCTTGGAAAAACACCTATTCAGATTTTCTGCCCATTTTTCAAATTGGATTAAAAAAAAAGTTTGTTGTATGAGTTCTTTGTATATTTTGGGTTCAGTTCAGTCACTCTGTTGTGTCCGACTCTTTGTGACCCCATGAACCACAATACGCCAGGTCTCCCTGTCCATTACCACCTCCCAGAGTTTACCCAAACTCATGTCCATTGAGTCAGTGATGCCATCTAACCATCTCATCCTCTGTCATCCCCTTCTCCTCATGCCTTCAATCTTTCCCAACATCAGGGTCTTTTCAAATGAGTCAGCTCTTCATATCAGGTGGCCAAAGTATTGGAGTTTCAGCTTCAACATCAGTCCTTCCAATGAACACCCAGGACTGACCTCCTTTGGGATGGACTGGTTGGATCTCCTTGCAGTCCAAGGGATTCTCAAAAGTCTTCTCCAACACCACAGTTCAAAAGCATAAATTCTTCTGCGTTCAGCTTTCTTTATAGTCCAACTCTCACATCCATACATGACTACTGGAAAAACCATAGCCTTGACTAGATGGACCTTTGTTGGCAAAGTACTGTCTCTGCTTTTTAATTTGCTGTCTAGGTTGGTCATAACTTTCCTTCCAAGGAGTAAGCATCTTTTAATTTCATGGCTGCAATTACCATCTGCAGTGATTTTGGAGCCCAAAATAATAAAGACAGCCACTGTTTTCACTGTTTCCCCATCTATTTGCCATGAAGTTATGGGACCAGATGCCATGATCTTAGTTTTCTGAATGTTGAGCGTTAAGTCAACTTTTTCACTCTTCACTTTCACTTTCATCAAGAGGCTCTTTAGTTCTTCACTTTCTGCCATAAGGGTGGTGTCATCTGCATATCTGAGGTTATTGATATCTCTCCCACCAATCTTGATTCCAGCTTGTGCTTCATCCAGCCCAGTGTTTCTGATGATGTACTCTGCATGTAAGTTAAATAAGAAGGGTGACAATATACAGCCTTGACGTACTCCTTTTCCTATTTGGAGCCAGTCTGTTGTTCCGTGTTCAGTTCTAACTGTTGCTTCTTGACCTGCATACAGGTTTCTCAAGAGGCAGGTCAGGTGGTCTAGTATTCCCATCTCTCTCAGAATTTTCCAGTTTATTGTGATCCACACAGTCAAAGGCTTTGGCAGACAATAAAGCAAAAATAGATGTTTTTCTGGAACTCTCTTGCTTTTTTGGTGATCTAGCGAATGTTGTCAATTTGATCTCTGGTTCCTCTCTTTTCTAAAACCAGCTTGACACAGATATACAGAACAGACTTTTGGACTCTGTGGGAGAAGGCGAGGGTGGGATGTTTAGAGAGAACAGCATCGAAACATGCATATTATCAAGGGTGAAACAGATCACCAGCCCAGGTTGTATGCATGAGACAAGTGCTCGGGGCTGGTGCACTGGGAAGACCCAGAGGGATCGGGTGGAGAGGGAGGTGGGAGGGGGGATTGGGATGGGGAATACATGTAAATCCATGGCTGATTCATGTCAATGTATGACAAAAACCACTACAATATTGTAAAGTAATTAGCCTCCAACTAATAAAAATAAATGGAAAAAATAATAAATAATAAAAGTAAAATAATAATAATAATAAATAATAAAACCAGCTTTAACATCTGGAATTTCACAATTCACGTATTGCTGAAGCCTGGCTTGGAGAATTTTGAGCATTACTTTACTAGTGTGTGAGATGAGTGCAATTGTGTGGTAGTTTGAACATTCTTTGGCATTGCCTTTCTTTGGGATTGGAATGAAAACTGACCTTGTCCAGTCCTGTGGCCACTGCTGAGTTTTCCAAATTTGCTGGCATATTGAGTGCAGCACTTTCACAGCATCATCTTTTAGGATTTGAAATAGCTCAACTGGAATTCCATCACCTCCACTAGCTTTTGTTTGTAGTGATACTTCCTAAGTCCCACTTGACTTCACATTCTAGGATGTCTGGCTCTAGGTGAGTGATCACACACCATCGTGATTATCTGGGTCGTGAAGATCTTTTTTCTATAGTTCTGTGTATTCTTGCCACCTCTTCTCAATATCTTCTGCTTCTTTTAGGTCCATACCATTCAGAAATTCCTTTATTGAGCCCATCTTTGCATGAAAAGTTCCCTTGGTATCTCTAATTTTCTTGAAGAGATCTCTAGTCTTTCCTATTCTATTATTCTCCTCTATTTCTTTGCATTGATCACTGAGGAAGGCTTTCTTATCTCTCCTTGCTATTCTTTGGAACTCTGCATTCAAATGGGAATATCTTTCCTTTTCTCCTTTGCTTTTAGCTTCTCTTCTTTTCACAGCTATTTGTAAGGCCTCCTCAACCCATTATTGTATATACCATTTGCAAATATTTTCTCCCATTCAGTAAGTGGCCTTTTTGTTTTGTTGATGAATTTCCTTTACTGGGCAAAAGCTTTTTAGTTTGATGTAGTCCCATTTGTTTATTTTTACTTTTGTGTTCAAAAGTGGTAAAAGCCAAATGTGTTTTCCAGAACAAACCACTTAAACCCAAACAGAAACTTTTTTTCTGTTTTTTTTTTTTAAACTAAAATTGTTTTAATTTTAAACATGGTTTATAAAAAGGAGTTTGTGTAGATGGAATGTATCTTTGGATTATCATAGGAAAGTTTCTGGTGGGGTAGAGCCTGTTTATATAAACTTTTAAATATTGGTGTACAGATCACTAATGAGAAACACCTTTGAAAACTCTTGCTTCCATGAAATGTATTCCTACATTGCAAAACCCTCAAGGCTATAAGAAAATACTCTTGTCAAGAGGCACATACCCTATATTTTTAAAGAATGCAATGCTGTAATATTTCAGATTTAAAATTTTAAATCCTTTTGTTGTGAAATCAAACATTTGAGAGAAGGGCATACAATGTAAGTGTGCAGGTTCCAATTTCTGTTTATTTATGCTTGGCTGTGCTGGGTCTTGGCTGCTCCACGGAGGCTTTCCCTGGTTGCAGGGAGCAGGGGCACCTCTAGTTGCAGCTTCTCTTGCTGTGGAACACGGGCTCTGCAGTGGGCAGGCCCCAGGAGTTGTGGCACACGGGTCTAGCTGCCCCGTGGCATGTGGGATCCTTCCAGACCAGGGATCACACCCATTTCCCGTGCATTGGCAGGTGGATTCTTAACCACGGACCACCAAGAAAGTCCAAAATTTTTATCATTCGAACCCCTGTTGCAGGCAACACTGCCGGCAAAAGTCAACCTGCGCTCTTCTGGGTCACAAGGCCCTGCTAAAGCTTCCACTTGCTTTACTCGCATGGTAGTCACTTCCTTCCTTGCCTCTTTCCCCCCCAGTTTATATTCACTTGCTCAACTCTGTTTTAACATTAATGCGTGTTGGTTCACGTGACTGTAGTTTGCTTACTCTCATTGCTGCAGAGGTTTCCACTGGATGAATATATCAGGTTTTAAAAACATCCATTTTACTATTAATGGACATATAGGTTATTTCTGGGTTTTAGATATTACAGATGTTTAGCTGTGAACTTTCTTTACCAGCATCTCCCTGCACAAGTGCACACACTTGGAATTAACAGAAATAGAAACATGTTCCC